CTTCGCAGGGGTGGAGGACAGATTAAGATGGTCCGCCCCAGGAGACTGATGGATCCGGATGGATTCCTGAGGAATCTTGGGGTTCTTCCTGCCATGGAGCCTGGCGATTCTGTCGACGCCTTGGTGGATCTCTACAACAGGGAGATGTCCAGGGCGATAGATACGATCGCTCCCGAACGCCCCATCACGTTGCGTCGTGACAGGCCGTCTCCCTGGTTCACTGGGGAGCTGGCTGTGATGAAGCACACGAGAAGGGGGCTAGAGCGCATTTGGAGGAAATCCCAGGACGTGTCTGACCAAGCATGGGCTAAAGCCTCTCTTAAGGCATATTCCGTGGCTATTCAGGTGGCCAGGGAATCTTTCACGACCACCCGTATAGCGTCTGCAGCAAATAGATCATCGGAGCTGTTTCGGGTTGTCAGGGAACTCCTTCATCCACCTGTGGTGGAGGAGACCTTCGACGACCCAGCAACTCAGTGTTGCGAGTTTGCACACCATTTTGCAGGTAAAGTTGCTCAGATATGTCTCGAGCTCGACTCCAATTTCATCACAGTACCAGATGAGGTGATTGAGGCATCTGCTTGTCCAATTTTGTGGGATTCTTTTAGGCTTGTTCTTCCTGAGACTGTGGAAGAGGTCCTTGGAGCTGTGAGGGCGACCACTTCGACTCTAGACCCTTGCCCATCTTGGCTAATTAAATCGGCCAAGGAGGGGCTGGTTGATTGGTTTGTGTTGATCATTAATGCATCGTTGGAGCAAGGGATTTTTCCATCTAATTTGAAACAGGCTGTGGTTCGGCCACTCCTCAAAAAGGCTTCCCTTGACTCCACGGTGCTGAACAATTACAGACCGATCTCCAACCTCCCTTTTTTGGGTAAGGTGCTGGAGCGGGTGGTCGCCTCCCAGCTCCAGGGCTTTTTGGATGACATCAACTACCTAGATCAGTCACAGTCTGGTTTCAGGCCTGGTCACGGCACCGAGACAGCCTTGGTCGCCTTGGTGGATGACCTCCGTAGAGAGCTGGACAGGGGGAGTGTGACTCTGTTGGTTCTCTTGGACATCTCAGCGGCTTTCGATACCATCGATCATGGTATCCTTCTGGGTCGTCTCTCTGGGATGGGTCTCGGGGGCACGGTTCTGTCGTGGCTCCGATCCTTCCTGGAGGGTCGATCCCAGTTGGTGAAGCTGGGAGACGCCTGCTCGGACCCCTGGCCCTTGACCTGTGGGGTCCCGCAAGGCTCCATTCTGTCTCCCATGCTTTTTAACATCTACATGAAACCGCTGGGAGAGGTCATCCGGAGTTTTGGAGTTAGGTGCCATCTCTACGCAGATGACACACAACTCTACTACTCATTTCCACCTAATTCCAAGGAGGCCTCTCGGGTGCTGGATGAGTGCCTGGCCGCTGTGTCTATCTGGATGAGGAGGAACAAGCTGAAGATCAATCCTGACAAGACAGAGGTCCTCCTGGTCGATCGTAAACCTGACCGGGGTATAGGGTGGCAACCTGTGTTGGACGGGGTTACACTCCCCCTGAAACCACAGGTCCGCAGTTTGGGAGTCCTCCTGGACTCATCGCTTACGCTTGAGGCTCAGGCGTTGGCGGTGTCTGGGAGGGCTTTCGCACAATTAAGACTCGTGCACCAACTGCGACCGTACCTCGCGAAGGCTGATCTGGCCGGGGTGGTCCATGCCTTGGTCACCTCTAGGTTGGATTACTGTAATGCGCTCTACGTGGGGCTGCCCTTGAAAACGGCTCAGAAATTCCAACTTGTCCAACGAGCAGCGGCCAGGATGTTAACTGGTGCTCCCTACAGAGAGAGGTCAACCCTCCTGTTCAAGGAGCTCCACTGGCTGCCGTTTATCTTCCGAGCCCAATTTAAGGTGCAGGTGCTTACCTACAAAGCCCTGAACGGTTTGGGACCAGCCTACCTGCGTGACCGCATCTCCGTCTACGAACCCACGCGTTCACTACGCTCATCTGGAGAGGCCCTGCTCGTGATCCCGCCTGCGTCGCAAGCACGTTTGGTGGGGACACGAGACAGGGCCTTTTCCGTGGTGGCCCCCCCGACTCTGGAACACCCTCCCCAAAGATCTTAGACAGGCCCCTACATTGGCAGTCTTCAGAAAGAACTTGAAGACCTGGCTGTTCCGATGTGCCTTTCCCGATTAGGAAATCTCCAATACCAAGTCCCAGAAGCACTTTATTAGAATTAAGATTGCCGCACACTGCACACTGCACTTGCCCTATAATCCTTACATATCACCTGTCACATCAGCACTTTTTAATCCTGTACCCTTTACTCTGGCCCGGCCTAGTTTTATCCTGTTTGATGTATTGTTTATTGCTTGTGGTTTTGTTGTTCTAATACTGCTTCAATTGTTTTAATTTGCTTTAAGTTTATTGTTATGTTGTGTATTGAGGCCTTGGCCTTTGTAAGCCGCATCGAGTCCTTCGGGAGATGCTAGCGGGGTACAAATAAAGTTTAATAATAATAATAATAATAATAATAATAATAATAATAATAGTGTAACCCTGTCGAGCACAGGCTGTAACCCTATGCCCTGTTCGGCCTTTCGACTGACCAGGAGTACCTCTGTCTTGTCTGGATTTAGTTTCAATCTGTTGGCCCTCATCCAGTCCGTTACAGCGGCCAAGCACCGGTTCAGGACTTGAATAGCCTCCTTAGTAGCAGGTGGGAAGGAGTAACAGAGTTGGACATCATCTGCGTACAGATGGCACCGCACCCCGAAACTCCGGATGATCTCTCCCAACGGCTTCATGTATATGTTAAACAACATAGGGGACAGTACTGAACCCTGCGGGACTCCACAGTACAATGGCCGTGGGGTCGAGCAGGAGTCCCCTAGCGACACCTTCTGGGATCGACCCTCGAGGAAGGACCGGAGCCACTGCAAAGCAGTACCCCCAAGGCCCATCTCCGTGAGGCGTCCTAGGAGGATACCGTGGTCGACGGTATCGAAGGCCGATGAGAGGTCCAGCAGAACCAACAAGGACACACTCCCCCTGTCTAGTTCCCGGCGAAGATCATCCACTAAGGCGACCAAGGCTGTCTCAGTACCATGTCCCGGCCTAAAGCCAGACTGTGCCGGATCTAGATAATCCGTGTCTACCAGGAACTCCTGGAGTTGCGAGGCCACCACACGTTCCAGGACTTTGCCCAAATAGGGGAGATTGGAAACTGGTCGAAAGTTGACAAATTGAGTGGGGTCCAGTGATGGCTTTTTCAACAGCGGTTTTATGACAGCTTGTTTTAAGCTGGCTGGAATGTTGCCTTCCCGAAGGGAGGCATTAACCACCACCTTCACCCACTCGGCCAATCCCCCTCTGGACTCCTTTAGAAGCCAGGATGGGCAGGGGTCTAGGATGCATGTGGTTGCCTCGCTTCCCCAAGAATCCTGACGACATCCTCGAGTTGAACAGATTGAAACGAATCCATCAAAACTGGACAAGCAGGTGCTCGTGTTACATCCTCAGAGACTGCCGTTAACGTGGTGTCAAAGCCTGAATGGATCAACGCGACTTTGTCCGTAAAGTACTGAGCAAAGGCTTTGATGATAGTCTCTCACTTACTTTTTAAAAAATGTTTTATTTATTGAGTTGTATTTGTTTTGTTCAAACTGCCCATTGAGGTTTCTCATCTGAAAGGTTAGTATAGATAAAAACAAGAAGAAATCTACAGGTATCACTTTGTCCCTCATGGCTATTGTATTGATACTGGGCAGGATAGAGGCAAAGCATGTGGAGCAGGTGAACATTTCTAATCTCCGTTTGTCTGCTCAACAGTTGCAACCCTAAACCATAGTTTGGCTTCTGTTTTACAATGAAATGTTTGAACTAAGAAGTTTCTACAGAATTGTTGTAGATACAGTCAGTCCTCCAGTTATGAATAAGATAGGTTCTGTAGCAATTCTGTAGTTGAATTTGTAAGAAAATGTACATTTTAAGCATAACTCCAGTCAAATATATATGTGGGTGGGTGGGTGTGAGCGCACGTAAGTGTTCTGGATAGCATACGGAAGGGAGCACACAACCCCCCTGTTGCACCAGCTCCACTGGCTGCCGATTTGCTACCGGGCCCAATTCAAGGTGTTGGTATTGGCCTATAAAGCCCTAAACGGTTCCGGCCCAAGATACCTATCTGACCGCATCTCGGCCTATGAACCCACCCGGACTTTGAGATCTTCCGGGGAGGCCCTGCTCTCGATCCCGCCAGCCTCTCAAGCACGGTTGGCGGGGACGAGAGATAGGGCCTTCTCGGTGGTGGCTCCTCGGCTGTGGAACGCCCTTCCTGTAGACGTTAGGCTGGCACCATCTCTCATGACATTCCGTAGAAAGTTGAAGACCTGGATGTTTGTGCAGGCGTTTGAGTAATTCAGTGCAATTTTGGTAATTTGAACATAGGAACGGAACAATGGACGACGAATTTGGATCACGCTTGGATGATGAGGCGATCAGGGATGGGATTGTGATAACTGTGTATTGATGATTGCTTATTAGTTATTAATGGAAATGTGTAATGTAACTGTTATTGTATATTAATTATTGCTGTTTTTATTGTTTTTGCTGTTTGGAAACCGCTGTGAGTCGCCCTCGGGCTTGAGATACAGCGGTATACAAGAATAGTAAATAAATAAATAAATAAATAAATAAATAAATAACACCCCTGTGGTTTGTTTTGCTGTCTGTGTCTCTGTTCAGAAAATTTCACCTCGCTTTCTGTTCCTGTGATAATTGGATTTTGAAAAAGTGGCTTATTCTGGGAAGAAGAATTGGTGAGAAAACTTCTGATGAGACACCTTTCCCCATGATCACTTTTTCAGGTGTGAACTTTCCTTCCAAGGGTTACATTTTTCTCACTTCCTGTTGTCTCACTCCCATTCTTAATTAGGAGTCATTTGTAAGTTGGATGTTTGCAACTCAGGGACTGCCTGCAATTTCATTTTGGTTTAACTCAACTTACAGAGAAAAATCTTACCTTTGACAGAACTGAAGCTCGTTTCTGGAAAGTCTTCAGTCAGATCGATCAGTGTCCCCTCAGACTTGCACCGTGGGAGACCACTGGCATTAGCAGAGCGAATACGCTGGGCTGCCATGGTGAGATCTGTGTCCTTCCCTGAATATCTAAAAGGCCATCTTCTCCAGAAGTGTTGAGTCAAATGTTACATCATTTATCTTCAAATAGTCTAGTGACAAGCATCATTCCACTTTCAAACTTCTCTAACTTGAGGAAAATCTGAAAAGAAAATAATTATAATTTGAACATGGTTTCATGCAGAGGTATTTCCAACTATATTGTGTGATTACATTGTAAAAGCCTGTCATTATCTAATTGGAAACACTTCACTCCAGACAAACAAACGTAGATTGCTTTATGACCATGTATAATTCCGATAACTTCTAAATAAGGGAGGAATGCAGATAACCAGCTTATCGCTATGTTCATACAACCATTGGGCAAGAGCTCTCTTTTCCCCAGAAACTGGTGGCCACATGAAATGCTGCAAAGGATCTTTTCAAAAGAAGAGCTTTGTATTATTCCAGTGGGCCAGGATAAAACAACGTAAAATCATGTTTCTTTTCTCTACAATGTCAACTTGCCAAAGAGTTATGGAAGCACCATAAACAGAAATACGAGGGGTATTTTTTAAGTAAGGTCCGTTTTATTGTAGACACTAGTAGTTTGCGCGCATACCGCAACGAGTGCGTGCATCATGTATGCCTCGGGAACAACTGTGCTCAGTTTCCGCTCTGTAGCTAAACATTTTTAAAGAACGGTTCTGTTCTTTAAAAATGTTTAAGACTATCAACTCACCCTCCGCATGTGAAGTTCGCTCAGTGATACGGTGATACTGTTATGAGTGAAAGCAAAGTGCGTAAGTGGGTACGACAATTCAAAGATGGCCGTGACAATGTCCATGATGAGGACCGCTCCGGTCGCCGTTCTTTGATTACAGTGAACTCTTGATTATCGGAGCAGGCGGCAAGTTTTTATGAAGAGGGTATTTTAAAATTGGTTCAGAGGTATGATAAGTGTTTGAACAAACTTGGCAACTATGTCGAAAAATAGAATGAAGTATGTACTTTCTGAAAATAAATTTACTTTTTTGAAATAAACTTTCGGTGTGAAGTTATGTTTAAACGGACCTTACTTAAAAAATACCCCTCGTAATTTTGTACAATACTTGGCTCAATTTAATCCACCTGGCAGGGTCCTTGCAAGGATCTATGATGCACTGAACTTCTTGGAAGAAGGATAAATCTAATAACAGCTACATCACCAAATTGGTTATCTGAATCTTCTCAATGTCTATACTATGCCCTGTTTTCTACTTATATATATGGGCAGCCCTCTCCTCCCACATTTCATCTCTTTGTAAAGGGGAAAAAAACTAGCTGTGGAAGAGAGAACAAATCCAAGTCACCAGAGTTGCTGAATGCAGGTTCAGGCCCTGGTGAAAAAAATATTTGGGGCTTCTTCATAGCTTTCTCTGTTCCCAGCCTAGCTCAAGTGTGGCTGTGACATGTGCAGAGCTCAAGTCTTGCAAGATGGGAAGTGGTCTAAACCCAGATTTAGGGGTTTGTTAGAGACCAAAATTCTCACAAGGTATGAAACCGACTTAATAAAAGTCTGTCTCACATGCCAAATGCCTCAGTTTCTTGGGTCGATCAAGATAAGACCCAAAAGGGTGACTGCCAACTGATGGATCCCACTGCATTTCATATTTACCTTGAGGTCATTTTTATACTAAAATGCTGGTGGGAGATTATATTGTGATGATGACTTTTTGCCATGTACTACACTCCATTAGTAACTGAGTAGTTCTGCCTGGGCAGAGACAATATGAAAAGGTGGATTTTGAATGTAGGGGGAACAAGAAATGTGGTGTAGTTCTATCTCTTTGGCAGTCTTTAAGAAGAGCTTGAAGATGTGCTTGTTCCAGTGTGCCTTCCCACAATAATGATCCCATAGCACTTTGTCTTCCAAAGCACTTTATATTGTTTTAGGTCTGCTTGTCTGTTCCCACAAACCGCCCCATCACTTTTTTCGCCCATGTCCAGCATTATTTTTCAATTTTTTAAATTTAATTACATTTGGCCTACCCATAGATTTTAAAGTGTGTTGTCTTATTGATAATTATTGATAATGCTTGTGTTATTGTTTTATTGTTTTGTTGTTTTTAAATTGCTTTTATTGTTATTGTTATTGCTTGTATTGTTGTATTTTGGGCTTGGCCTCATGTAAGCCGCACAGAGTCCCTTGGGAAGATGGTAGCGGGGTATAAATAAAGTGTTAAAGTGTTATTATTATCTCATGGAACTTTATACTTCCAAATGCAGGTTCTCAGCTGACGTATTTCCAGCAACTATGTCGTTTCCCACAGCTGCACATGTTATCAACTGGTTTCACACACATTGCTACCTCATAGTAACTCCATTAATGACGCCAAGATTTTTTTTGAGAGATCAAGCTTAATGAACAGTGTAAACATGGAAGCTGCACTTAATATGGTGCCATGACACTGCTATGAACAAAAATACATTAGATTGTTACACAATGATCTCTATGAAATCTAAACTAGGTTAGATTGAGAGACCAATTATATTGCAAATGCCAATACCCTTATGTTACAGACAAGATTTTCAACAGGATGCAGGGGAGCAGGGCAGGGAACACATACACCATGCAATTCAATCAGACCAGCAGATTTCCAGTAACCTGTTCCAGATGGCTGCTTGCATTCAAGCAATTTTTTCATTAACCATGAGAAATACTAGGAATTGTTGTATGGTCATGACAGCTTGTTCTCAGAGTATTCCTATAGTTAAGTTGCTATTAGCCATACTTTGAAAGACACCTTACAAGTATATTTATTTATTTATTTGTTTATTTTGACTTGTATACCGCCACTCCCAATTTGGCTGGAGCGGTTTACAGCAGTAGATTAAAACAATACAACCAACTTTAAAATACAATAAAAACGAGAACCGACATAGTCCTGAGTTATTCACCCATCGAAAGCTTGTCGGAAAAGAAAGGTTTACAGGCTTTCCGAAAAGCAAGTAGGTCTCGGATGGTTCGGGTTTCAACTGGCAAGGCATTCCATAAATAAGGGGCCACAATCGAGAAGTCTCTCTGCCTAGTAGAGACAGATAATAAGTCCGGATGTTGGGGACTTCAAGCAAATTTTGGTCTTCGGACCGAAGTAATCTCTGGGGTTGGTAGGGGGATAAGGGCCCTCAGGTACGCCGGCCCCAGACCATATAAGGCCTTAAAGGTTAGTACCAGCACCTTGAAAGTAATCTGGTACTCAATCGGAAGCCAGTGCAGCTGTTGTAGAATTGGGGTGATACGACACCTCGCCGGCACCCCGGCGAGAAGACGAGCCGCCGCATTTTGCACCAGCTTCAGTTTCCGGATCACTGACAAAGGAAGGCCAATGTAGAGGGCGTTACAGTAGTCAAGCCTCGAGATGACCGTCGCCTGGATCACTGTAGCCAGGTCGTTCCTAGATAGGTAGGGAGCCAGTCACCTAGCCTGACGAAGATGGAAAAACGCAGATCTGCTCACAGCAGAGACCTGGGCCTCCATTGTAAGCAGAAGGTCCAATAAGACACCAAGAGTTTTTACAGAAGTTGACGAACGTAGTGTCTCGCCATCCAGGGTAGGCAGCTGGATCTCCCTCCCACCCGGACGGCCCAGTCAAAGGATCTCCGTCTTCGCTGGATTCACCCTCAACCTGCTGGCATGCAACCATCCATTAACGGCCTCAGGGCATCAGTATATCCCACCTTTTTCTCGACAGTGGGATTGAAGTAGGCTTGTAGAATAAAAATCACTACAGCACAACTCCTGTATCTGTGGAACCTGTATTTACCCATGTTTGAAAAAAGTGTTCCCTCCTGGCATTTTCTATGTCCTCCAGCAAAATTCTATGATATGTTTCTGCTGAAAGTTGTTGCTGAAGGACCTAGAAATTCTAGAGAAGTAGTCTTTCTAGGCATTTTCTAGAAAGTGTGATCATAGAATCATAGAGTTGGAAGAGACCGCATGGGCCATCCAGTCCAACCCCCTGCCAAGAAGCAGGAATATTGCATTCAAAGCACCCCTGACAGATGGCCATCCAGCCTCTGTTTAAAAGCTTCCAAAAAGGAGCCTCCACCACACTCCGGGGCAGAGAGTTCCACTGCTGAACGGCTCCCACAGTCAGGAAGTTCTTCCTCATGTTCAGATGGAATCTCCTCTCTTGTAGTTTGAAGCCATTGTTCCGTGTCCTAGTCTCCAAGGAAGCAGAAAACAAGCTTGCTCCCTCCTCCCTGTGACTTCCTCTCACATATTTATACATGGCTATCATCTCCTAGTCATTCATTCCAATAGGGTTCTCTGTTATCTATGGTAAGTTCAGGAATGCATCCCTGTAGATATGGGGGTCATACTACGAGGGGTATTTTTTAAGTAAGGTCCATTTGAACATAAGTACACAACGAAAGTTTATTTCAAAAAAGTAAATTTATTTTCAGAAAGTACATACTTCACTCTATTTTTCGACATAGTTGCCAAGTTTGTTCAAACACTTATCATACCTCTGAACCAATTTTAAAATACCCTCTTCATAAAAACTTGCCGCCACCAAAAGCCACCAAATCGTCTGTAATCAAAGAAGGGCGACCAGAGCGGTCCTCATCATGGACGTTGTCACGGCCATCTTTGAATTGTCGTACCCACTTACGCACTTTGCTTTCACTCATAACAGTATCACCGTACACTTCACAAATCGGTCGATGAATTTCTGCAGCAGGCAGGTTCCTTGCTGACAAAAACCGTATCACTGAGCGAACCTCACATGCGGAGGGTGAGTTGATTGTCTTAAACATTTTTAAAGCACAGAACAGAACCATACAGGTTCGCTACAGAGCGGAATTGAGCACAGTTGTTCCCGAGGCATGCCAGTACACGACACACGGCTCGTTGCTGTATGCGCGCGAACTACTAGTATCTACAACAAAATGGACCTTACTTAAAAAATACCCCTCGTATATATGGAAAACCACATGCAACCAAAAACATATAAAGGTTAAGGTCCCTTGATGTATGGCAGGAACACTTTTCCTAGGGGGGGGTGGATCTTCGTCTTTATTCTCATGGCTTGTTCTTGGTCTTGCAGCTCTTCTGATGTCTGAGGTGGAGTATCCATTGGCCTGTAGAGCCCAGTTGAGGTGGTTCAGTTCATCTTG